AAAAAGGTAACGAGAAAACTATAGGCAGCAACTGGAGAACAGCAGTTATACTGACTGGTAACTTCTTGATTGCAATAATGCATGACAGAAAACAATGGAATGATATCTTGGATGTCTTAAAAGAAAATGAATTAGAAGTTCTATATCTAGACAGAATATGTGTTTCCAGAATGAGGAAGAATTAGAGACTTTTTTGAATAAGCAGACACTGAGGCAGGATCTTACCACAGTATCTTTAATACAAGAATTTTTCAGAATATATTCCAAACAGAAGGAAAAGTGATTCTAGAAAGCAAGTCTCAAATTTAAGAGGAAGTAAATACTAAAGAACACTGCCAATATTGGGAAATATAAACCAATACTGGTTTCGAAAGAAACAATTATGTCTCTTGGTGTTAAAAAATTATGATATCAAACAGGAATAGCATCTATACTGAGATGGGGATACATGGATTAAAAAATTGTAAGGTAATATTAAGAAGAGTATAAAGGATTGGACTAGCTCCAGTCTTTGATAAATTTGATAAATAACTTTGATAAGTATGTTGTAATCCTAGGATAATTGCTAAAAGAACAGAAATCAAACTAGTAGAGAAAAATGATGGAAAGATGACGTAATAAAGAACAGCAACAAAAGACCTACTTATTGATAAAAGCAAGAAAAGAAAAAAAAAGAAAGAAGCATACAATATGATTTCATTTACATAAATTCAAAGCAAACTGTTTTTAAGGGGTTTTGATATAGGTGAGAAAATTTAAATTATAATTAAAAAATTTTATAATTTTTATAATGAGATACTGACTGAAATGCAAGCCAGTGGCTAACTTTGGGGCAAGGAAGAGGCTGTGATGACAAAGGGACAGGTGACAGGTGGGGCTTGTGGAGGGCTGTTGGGGTCTGTTTCTTGGCCTCAGCTGTGCTTACACAGGTGATTAATTAAGAATTATTGCAGTGTACATGGATGTGTTCTATTTTTAACTAAAAATGGCTTCTGCATTATTTTGTAGCATCTTTTAAAATTTATCTTGAGTTTTAAATCACAGTACATTTCTTTTAAATTATGAGAATATGAACATCATTCTTTCTTTCATAACCCAGAAAATTGTGTCCAGAGACACCAGCAGTTTTCAAATGCTCCTCCTGACCAGCCATCCTGGATCAAGCTTGTTCTGATTTGAGGTAAATTGAACAAAATAGAGACGTGCATGCAGATGCACAAGGGAGACAATTTTCTTTCTCCATAAAATATGTCTCCTTTTCTGAAATTTTATCCTTCCTAGATGTTGGATTGTGATATTTTATAATGCCCTTTCAGTTATAACATGATAATGATAGTAGGTGGTTGGTTACTCTTTAATTTCTATCAAAAAATAAAAAATAAAATAGATCAATCATTCTTTTTCTTTAATAGGTTCCTGAGGACCTACAGTATGCAAATCACTAATCTCCTCAGATCAGGGAGGTAATTCTGTATCTATTTTTGGAGAAGGTTCCTTTTGATAAAAATGTGATTTCAGTTTGTTTATGAACTGAATGCTGTGTCCCCTAAATGCAAGTGTTGAGTCCTAACCTTCAGTGTCATGATATCAGGAGTGAAGCCATTGGGAGGTGATTAGGCAATGGACGGAGAGCCCTCATGATAGGACTATTTCCTTTACATGAAGACATGAAGAGCAATAAGAGCTTGGTCTCTCTCTACTCTCTATCACATGAGGTTACAGCAGAATGATGGCCAAATGCATTCACATTGAGTACCCTCAGCAGACACCAGATCTCTCCATGCCTTGACTTTGGACTTCCTGGTATTCAGAACTGTTAAAAGTAAATCTCTGCTTAAGCCACCCAGTCTGTGTTATTCTGTAACAGCAGTTCTAAGTGAAGAAAACTGACATGAACTGAAAGAACTGCAGGGAGAAAAAGAGGTAGTCAAACATGGAACGTAGGTTCAGGCACAATATTCTGTGACACACATATTAAATATGAAAATGGTAAGAGTGAGACCCAGTGATATAAGAAAGGGGCTCTCAGAAAATATGCAGAAGTTTACTTTTGGTTATACAAATGAATGGGTTTCTTCATTTTTAGTATTAGTGTCTGCACACAATATTTTATGCTGCCCATCGACACACATTTCTTTGTTGGAATGCCATGCATGTTGGTGTTCCTTGAATTAATAAATTCTTTCTTCTATAAATATCTGAATCAACTCAAGTACAATAATATCATAATTTAACAGCATAATAATATCATAATTATACCATATTCTAAGTTATGTACAGTATATTTTCAAGTAGAACATTAATAATTGTTTTATTTTATATATTATTTTATATATTAATTGTTTTATATTAAATATTTAATTGTTTTATATATTTTAATTGTTTTATATGTTTATGTATTGTTTTAACTGTTTTATATATTTTTGGTTTATTATATTACTTTTATTACTTACGAATTATTTTGGCAGATAGCATGATCTCCATTTTTATAGGTGAGGGTTGGAAACTCAACTTTGTCAACTACAAAGTAGTAAAAATAGAATTATATCCCCTCTTGTCCAACTTCAAAGCTTGCTGTTAACTACTTTGCTTCTTTGTCTTGCTGCTGCATTAACAGATCATTCTATAAAGATTAAAATACTATTTATGCTTTTAAACCACATTCTACATCACTCAGCTTCTACTGACCCCTTGGAGGAATGGATTTTTTTAACCAGAAGCACAATGAACACCAGGACATGTCAAAGGGGGAGCAAAGGAAATTCAGAAACTTGAGCATAAATCTTTTAAAATAAAACCACGACATCTTTAATCAAGGCCTGGCAATCATCGTATCGTTTCTTTGAGGCTCCAATTGGTAAATGTGGGCTATCCCACTAGGCCTTTAATACTTGGTTAGAAATGAATCCAAGAAGTTGACTAGCAAGACAATTCATGCAGTACAAACACGAATCTGTAATTCTCTTCCCCATTACCACAAAACAGTTAGTTCCTGCACTGAATTCACTTTGAAGACAATGAGTGCCTGGGAGAAACCATAAGAGCATTGAAAATGGGGCCAGAAGTAATAAATAGGGACTGCCAAAAAAATGCTTACGAATTTCTTCTACAACTCAGAGCTATTGTCAGTTTGTAACAATTCTGAAGGTTGAACTGGAGGCATACAATTAGTGAGCTAACTTGCAAGGTTTGCCTACAATCTAAAAGCAGTTTTCTTTCACCTGTATATAATTAAACAGCTGAGAATTATATCTCCTGGTACGAGGAGATTAAAATAATAAAATAAAAGTAAACCAAATGCTTTAAAATGGAGTCTAATCTCTCTCCATTATCCCAGCACATTCACATAAACTCTGCTCCAATGGAATTCTTCTCACTCAGCAGGATGAAGATCATCTTCTCAGCAGCCAAACCCAGCAAGGCCAGCCACTCTCCTCCCTTCCTAACATCCCCTTAGAACACATTCAAAGGGAAGACAAAGGCCCTGCAAGTAGATGAGGTTGTTTTGTGCCTGGCCCTTAGGGGTATTTTATTTTCTTAAAAAGATTATCTCAAACTTACTGTAGCCAAAAAATGAAAACAAAACAGAACCTAAAACAAATTTCTGAGGCAGTTTAAAAATACAAAGGACTGAGACATATTTTTAATTTATTCATAATTAGTTTACAAATTGGACCACACCAAGACACCAAAATCAGCAAGCCACTTTGGGGATAAAGGCTATTGCAATTATCAGGAGCAAGCCAAATGTTACCTTTTGTTCTCACTAAAATCTCCTTTAAAAAAACATCTCTTAGCAAATGATTTTCTATTTAAAGAGGATTACATAGCAAACATGACTAGTGGCTGTACAGCAAAGAACTTTTCTTTGTTTTTTTACCTGCCAAAGATAAATTAGTTCATTTTGATCCACTCTTGCCAGGCAATGTGGTCCATACAGTGATGGTACCAATGTACCTGACAGCCTCCTGATTAGTAAGGACTAATTACTAATCAGGAGTGGTCAGGCAATGTACCTGCTTGCCAAAAGATGTAGGAGACAATGGTCAGGCAATGGCAGGTTGGTTCCTGCCTGGAGTCCTTACTAATCAGGAGGCTGTCAGGTACATTGCCTGACCACTGTCTCCTACATCTTTTGGCAAGCAGTTCTTATGTTTGTGAAGCAAGGTTTGGGGCTTGAATTGCCCCAGTAACTCTCTCCAAATTGCTCTTACTTACAATCACTGTCAAATTTCAATAGGCGTGAAAGAAGCCCTCATCCAGGTACAATGAAGAAACCCTACAAATTTCACTTTGTAATAACTACAGAATACAGAAATTGTATTAGCTCCATTAGATGGAGTCATAGAAATATTCCAAAAGGTTAGCTGGATATAGTGAATGTCAGAGTTAGAATAAGGTAAAAAATCACTTTGTTAACTTAGAGTGTTTTCTCATTGGTAACACCCTATATTAAGGTGTCATTTATAAAGAGTTTATTATTATTTATTAATGTGTGGAGCACTTTATAGCATACTAGATAACAACTTAAATTCATGTATTAAAGATGCACATACATGGTTTAATACGATTTACATCTTATAATATTCTTTAAAACAGCTTCCCATGGTCTCATCCGTTAAGCATTTATTACTAATGCATTTTATAACATACTTTATAATACATTATTTGAGCAAGTAGCTACATTTAGTGATTATTTCATAAATAAGAATAAAGCATTTATAAGTGGCACCTTAATTTAAAGCGTTACCTTCACATTACTAGGGAGCTGCTCACCATTCATCTCATTTTGTGATTATTCTCCAAATGCACCACTTAATAAAACAGACACTAAGTTCTATTTTCCCTTCATCTGATTAAAAGTTTATTGAGTCATTTCCTCTATCTGTTTTCAGATGTTTGTAGCTTAGAAGCCTTAGGGTGATTTCTGATGAAACCAAAATTTTAATTCAACAGTATTTCTGAAAAGATAATAATAGTAAAAACAGAGAAATACTCACTGCATTGGACAGAGCCTGTTGCTTGGATTCTTTGTAAAATTCAAGTTTTCGACTAGAAAGAACTATCCAGGAAGATGACCAGTTTTTCCTTAGAAAAAGAAACAGGAAAAAAATATCATCAGTAGAAAAAAATACATACACAATAGAATAGGAGCAACATTTGAGACTATGTTTTGAACTTGTTTTCCTAAAATTCTCTTCTCTATTAAAAGCAATAACTGGTATGAAACTCAGATAACAATAAAAACATTTTATTATTTTAGAAAAGTATGACATTTATATATATGTTTCTCTCTCCATAAAATCTTTTCAACTACTAAGCACCCAATTTTTTGTGTGTTCAAACACCCCACTTCCCACAAAAAGTGTTAAACTAAAAGTAGCAAAGTAAAACTAGAGATCAGAAACCTTTCCTCCATTGTTTCTTCTTTACAATGGTTTAGTATATTACAGAGTCTGAAAAACTAATCAGCTCATGTCATTGCTTATTCAAAATAGTTTTATATTGTTAAATCCCACTGGAACTCAAAGAAATGTAACTAAAATTGCTGACATGTTTTTTTCCTCTATGCCTATCATATTGCTGAGGATTAATGAGGGTATAGAAGATGGATTCTCTGGTATTGTATTATACCAATACAATAGTGTAAATTGGTGCATCTTTCTGGAGTGCAATTTAAAAATATGATTTTCTTAAAAAATTATTAAGATGTTCATGTACCCCAAAAGTACATGTGATATATGTTTATGTTGCGTTATTTTTTTTTTCATTCCTTATTTGTTCTTGGTAAAAATACATGAGAGTAGAGTGTATTTTGACATAGCATACATACATGGAGCATTAATAAATCTTTAAAAACTTCTGTCTTTTGACTAAACATGTCCATTCCTATGAATTTAAATGTATTCTAGAGATATATTCTCACAAGTTGCTAAAGCTTTGTGCATAAGGATGAAGTACACCATCATTTGTTAATTCTGCACAAAACATAAAATGTTAAGAAACTGCTTAAGTAAATTGCACATAACAAATTTATTTCAAGAATAATGAACCCTGAGCTACAGAAGGACTGGTGTGGGAAGATTTTAATTCAGATCATAATATACATATTTCATAACACCATGCTGTGCTATTTACTTAGAATATCTTCACCCATCCAAGCCACTTCTAATTAATAATTACATTCATCACAAGTCCAAGTGTTTCCTAAGTGTGCCTTTTATGACTTTCTTGCATATGGCTTATAGGAATTTTTTTAATATATTTTTTTAAATTTCACTCTGATATCCCCCACTAAAATGTGAGACCACAAATGGCAGAAGTCTTTTTGTCCTTAACAGAGGTATCTTTATTGTGTAGTACAGAGCCTTGGATGTAAGTACAAAACTTACATCTGTTGAGTTAAAAATTGTACTGGTCTGCAAAACAATTCACGAGTATAACCATAGTAAACCAAGTAGTAAAATCATTGCTTTTGATTTTCCGTTGTATTTCTTAGTCTTTACCAGATTTCCTCCATTGGACATGCATTACTTCTATAGTTAGAATAAGTAGGTGTTAGTGTCATCAAGAGTCGTGTTTTTTGATGGAAAAAAAACAAGAGTTTATATTCATATATAAATGATTTACCCAATATATCATATTATTGCAGTTTACTTTGGTTTAACATTCAAACTAATTTAATTTGGTTTACAAAACAAAAAGCTACAGAAATTCTTTATTCAAGTCAATAGAAACCACACAAAAATATATGAAAAATAACTTCAAGATAGTTGTGCAATTTATTTATTTATTGCCTTTTACAATCTAGGAGCCTGATTGAAAGGGATGCTTTGATTCAGTAAGGTTAATATTTACAAAAAGAATTAGGTTACTCTAACATGCCTGAAGCTTTCTTAATGATACACGATTGTGTTTAAAAGGAATAGGATAAACAGGCACACAAGAAACACAATGTGAATTTTCCAATGTATAAATACAAATGTTATGTTCTTGTACCCACTTGTCTTCAAATAAAGAGTCAAGTTTTCAATTAGATGATATAAAGTTAAAAAAAGAAAAAGAGAAACTGCTTAGATATTTTCCCTCTGTCTTAGCGCCCATTTCTCCATCAAGGTACCCATGGCAATATGGTGAATTAAACAGCCGTTTCCTCTTTATGCAGGTTATGATATTAGATGATCCAGAACAAGGAAGAGAGAAAGATCCGCAGAAATGCTGGTCTAGGCCCTGAGTCTTTCACCACCATCCTTCTTTGTACCATATGTAGTCCTGGGTACGGAACACCTCAGACATGATGGATCCATATTTAACCTGCCTGTTACATTCCTCACTATATTTTTCATCTTCTGGCAGAGAGAAACTATACCTTACTTGCTTCCTATCTATAGAAAGTCCTGGATAAATGATTCTGATTTGAATCTGTTTCAGATGTTGATCGTTTATAGAACTTGCTGGCAAAACTCTCTCGTTCTTTAAACTTGGAACTGGAACTAGTTAGAACTAAAGCTGCGTGAAATTCAATTATCTCATTGTTCTGTGTTAGGACTTTGAACTTCTGTGAACTGTGTCCCTGTTAGGTAAACCAGATGAATGAGCTGAAGAGGGTCTTAGAAGCTTAGTAATGCAAACTTCTCTCACACCTTACATACAGTGCTATTTCATCTTGAATTTATAAATGGCAAGCACTGAACCATATTAGAATGAAAGTAAAAGCTATTCCAAGGGTAGAATTCTATTGCTTAGAAAGAATTTCATTTCAAAATGAAGAATAAAGTGCTACTGACAAACATTTGGATGCTTCCCTTTCATTTCACTTCTCCTAAGATTTCGTTTAAAATGATAATTAGCATGAATTATTCTAGATAACTAGTATAAGTTTGATTGTGTAGCTAAGGTTAACCTCTCAAACATAAATATGTTGAAGGTAACTAATATTTCCACATACTAACATGGAAAACAAGGCTCAGAGAATTTAGGTAATTTGATGAAGGCCACAAAGCTACACACTTACATTGAAAGTCAATCCAGTTTCTCTGACAATGAAGTCAAGACAACAAAGTCTGTAATCTATTTATTAGTTTATACTTTTTTAAAAGGCCTATGCAATGCTAATTTGGTTAAAGATATCATCAGTATCAGATTTTACATAGGTTTGGTTGAAATTCTCAAATCATAAAATCTTGTGTGTGAAGCCTGTTACAACACATCAGCAATCTGTCACTCTTATTAGCTATTTTATATGTTTTTTTAAAAGAAATATTGGCAAAACCCCATCCATCCCAAACTCAATACCTGTGCATACTTTAGAAGTCTTCCTGACTTCTTAGACATGAGTCAGTTATATGAGCTCTCAGGCTGCAGTGGCCGCTCTGTCCCAGGTATGCCACAGGAATTTCACATGCATCACATAATTTAATCACACAGCCAGTCACAAATATCCATTGAACATTTAACACTATTATCAAACACATTTTTTCAACACATGTATCAAACAAAATTCAAAGGGCTGACTATAAAAGAAAATAAGAAGAGACCTCAATGATTTTATTTCTAACTAGAACACAGGCAAAAAACATAGAAACAAATCCTCTGAATAACTCAGGGAGGTGGACTGGTGCTTAGCGAGACTGCGTCTTAACCACAGGCACACATGTTATGAAGATGGGAATCAGGCCACATCTCCTGGACCTTGGAGCCTATGCTCATTCCACGGTAACAGCTGTCTCTAGAGCAGGTGGCACCAGCTCTCCCTTCAGTCTTATCTAGCATGTATTGCAGAGTATCATGACAGAAGTTAAGAAAGGGAGACAGAACCTTTTTCTCCTTACTGCAAAGCTGTATCCTAACCTGACCTGGGCTGTTTTGCAATGCCAGTCATTTTATCCCTGCCTTCCATCCTCATCCTGATGATCAGCAGGTAAATTCATCCATAACAGGAACCAGTTAATGCCCCCACATTTCATCCCAACATTTGGAACACTGTGTTTTTATTTTTTAAAAAATTATTTTTTAGTTATAGTTGGACACAAAACCTTTATTTGTTTTTATGTGGTACTGAGGATAGAACCCAGGGCCTTGCGCTTGCTAAGTGAGCACACTACCACTGAGCCACAACGACAGCCCTGGAACACTGTGTTTTACCATATACAGGATAAAAACTAAGTTGCTCAAGAGACTTCACCATAAAGCAAGACATGTAATTCAGAAAATATCCATCTTAATAAGTTAGAGTTCCCAGGAATAAATAAGGCTATTCCAGGTCTCTGCACAGACTAAGAGGTAAAAATCAGGTGAAAGACCCATGCTAGATTCAGTGTAGAAAACAGATCTTGGGACAAGAAAATAAATAAATAAATAAATAAATAATAAAAAATGCAGGCATCTTTAACTTTTCACATACAAAGCAAATCATATCTAAGGGGAAATTACAATTTAAGAAAAATCTTGTTTAACATATGCAATTGCTGAGACATTTTATCTGAGTGGAACACTCAGAGAACTTTCCTAAAACAAATCCTGAGCATGAAGTTGGAAAATGAAAAAAAGCAAAACAAAACACAGACATCATCTTGACATTCTACAAAATGGACACCGGATGGCAGCACATAATAACAGCAACTTTATAACTGCTTGTCTGGAGAATGCTGGATGGAAAATGGCCCTTAAAATATTCAATGTCATTATAAGAGCCTGTGAGCATAAGTTCTGAGTTTAACACATTCATTTGCTCTAAACATCAACACTTTGTATCCTATACTGATCACTCGTGCATCCTTTAGCTAATGACGAAATGACAGACCAATAAGAGGAAAGTATCTGAGATAACTTCATAAATTTCAGATACTGTTACCTGACTTGGTCATGCTGGATTTGGCTTTATCCTCCACCAGTGATTTTACTGTAGTGTCCCTGACCAATTTACCACAAAATCCTTCATACACTTAAATGTCCTGACTCATCTCAGACTGGTAGCTCTAGAATCTTATTTTTTCTCTCTCATATTCTAAGCTTCTTATAATTTGCAACTGCTAAAAGGTGGGTCCAAGAGACATACATCTCTATCAGTGTGGCAAGAATATAGAAAAAGACAGGTTTAGCCTGGAAGAATTTATTACCACAGTGAGCAGAAAGTACTAAGGAAAAAAATAATAAATTCACATGAGGAGGATACCTTAGTATCAGATTCTAAAATAAGTTCATTCTGAGTAACAATTGTGTTGAAACTCACGCATACACACACATCCCCACACACACAAAAAAAGATTCATGGGCCCTAGAATGAAGGCAGGTACTAGGAGACACAATCACAGCAAAACCCTTATATGTATTTATTTTCAAACCCATCTCTGTCCATGTTTTCACCCCCATGTATTCTCATGTCCCTCTGAAGAAGACAGCAGAGTGAGAATCTGTACATGATATGTACAGATATGTACAGATCCACAAACAAAAGATCCGAGTTCAGAGACAGAAGTGTGAGGTACTGAAAGAGCATAATCACAATGACAGGTGCCTTTTGTAATTTAAGCCTTCAAAAAAACTGTTTACTAAGGCCTCATAGAATTTCATAGAGGCCAGTGCAACTTACAGTTTTGGAGATGGAATTACCCAAATGAAGAAATTCCTAAGCTTCTTCAGAAAAGCTGAAGCATAATTTCTATGTTCATAATTAAAAATTAAAGTTGAATGCTGAATGTATTCTGCTTTCAAGCCTGTCAGAGTATCACAAGGGAAATGTGCATAACCTCATTTTGAAATAAGACTAAATTTAGGGCCTTTTATGAATATAAGATGTAGCCAACAAGTTCTCCTTCCTGTCACCTTCTCCTGTTCATATTGAGATAAATCAAAATACAAAATTTTAGAGAAAATACATGAAAAAAGGAATAAAGACAAATGAAAAGGAGAATAAATAGGGGGAATAAAAAGATAATACTACAAGATGTAGATGATCTAAAATGGATTTATGAGTAAAAAATTTGATAGAAATTTAAACAATAATATTTATCAAGTGACAATTGAAGAAGACCTTGGTATTATGCATGGCAGAAAACAAAAGGACCCCCCCCCTTTTTTTTTTAAACTTCTTGGCCTTAAGTAGCTTAAAGCTACAAAGATAAAGCAAACATGTTTGAAACAGAGAATAGGGTTAAAATATATGATAGGATCCTTTAATAAAATCTGGGGGAAAGAAGAGGTTAATATGGTAACTAAGTTTCTTCATTTGTACAGTAGGAAATGATAATAAAGTCAATGTGCTAGTATTATTTCAGCATTACTAGTAAAGCATTTGGTCACATGCATCTAGTAAGATTGCTTTTCAAATCAATACAATGTATTAAAATGATATAAAGATCCTTGATGATGCAAGGTATGGTAGTGTATGCCTGTAATTCCAGTGGCTTGGAAGGCTGAGGCAGGAGAATAACAAGTTCAAAGCCAGCCTCAGCAAAAGTGAGGTGTTAAGCAACTCAATGAATCCCTGTCTTTAAATAAAATACAAAATAGGGCTGGGGGTATGGATCAGCAGTCTAGTGCCCCTGAGTTCAAACCTGGGTACCTCCCTCCCCCCAAAAAAAGATCCTTGTTGAATGGGAAACCACCTACCAAAAGAAATTTAACATAGGAAATACAAATTATAGTAACTGTGGTATATTACTTAATAATTACTAAACTATCAATGAGATAAGATCTATACAATTTTTCAAGATTGTGACTAAACTGGCCATTTTGTTGCTAGTGATAAAAGCAAACAGACTCCTTGGGCAAGGAATATTGCAATACATAGCATGATTTATTTTAAAATAGTTATGGAATTTGATCATGTAATACAGGCTTAGAATCTATCTTTACAAAATATAAAAGAAAAATTGACAAGCTTTAGGAGATTTACTACAATTTTAACTATTTTAAAATAAAACTAGACTCAAAAATAAAATTTAAAAAAGAAGGGTAGGGATTATTTTGTATATCATAGCCTACAAACACTGTGGAAAATCATGTGCTATTAAATATTGTGATCATATATACAAAGTTCAATTTGTAAATTATATAAAATAAAAACAAAAACCAAATATATTTGGAAGACATATCTACAATGTCTAAATTTGAAAAAAAAATTATCATTTAGAATATAATTAGTTCTCTCAAATTATCAAAAAAATAAAAAGAAGAGATTCAATAGAAAATAGTCAAAGTTTATGAATAGATAATTCTCAGGATGCAGAATCTGAATGATTCTACATTTAAAAAAAATGTAGGCTTCACTGAAATAGAAACAGTGAAAAATACGAGCAACATTGAAGTTACATTCTATGGTCATGAATTTGTCAAAATTGAAAGTGTGGTAATGTTGTTTGTTAATGAGATTGTGGGGAAGTGGGATCCCTTCTTCAGTGCAGAGTGAACTGGCACACTCATTCAGGAGAAAGTCTGGCAATGACACTCAGTGACTTTCTAAATGTCCAAGAAAGCCTACACTCTTGATTATAGTCCCCAGATAATTTCTAACAGGTTCAAAGGAGATATATATGTGGATGCTTCTGCAATGTTGCTTGGGATGAAAGGAGTTACATACAACTTCAATATTCATACCTGCAATATTGCATAAGTAAAATTTGGTACCAATACACAATAGAAAAATGGCAGCAACTGGAATAAATAAAGTAATTTTAAATATAGTAACATACATAGATATGAACAAGCACTTACACTGAATGAGAGTAGTAAGAAACATGAGATTTATAATAGGAAAATGTTTATTAACTATGGAACACATTCAAACATTCAATTGATTTTTATTAGAATACCACACATATATCCAAATACATATATGGAGTGTGGATTTTTCAACAATTAGATTGTATGTCTACAGATTACTGACTTGAGAGTTGCAGACTGAGAATAAAATAAACAGCTCTAGGGGTCTTGCTTCAAATGATGGTAACACAAGGCCACAAACTGAAGGGAGTAATCAACTCAGCTCTGTGCACCTGGGATTTTCAGAAAAGGAAAACTAAAATTTATGTGACTTTAAATGATGAAAGCTGAAAGAATGCATAATGCTATGCAAACTGATTGGAATAACAATAAAATAGAACATACTGAAGTTTATGTAAATGTAAACTATAAATTAAAGCTTGTATGGAAACTGATTAAGTTTGTTGTGCAAATAAGACAAATACAAAATGGTAACCACACTGATTGAAAGTACCTAAAAATGTATTCATGAGTGTTGGTTGGGGGAGGGGCCCAAGTGCCTCAGCCTCCTCTTAATATCCTCTTATACAAGAAAATGCTATAAAATTGGCTTATGAATAGCTTATGGGTAAGGATGATTTACAAAACTATCACCACAGGGCATCATCTTGTTTTGTTTTGTTTTTAAATTTTCTTCTGTTCATTGCATGAGCTCAAAGGGTAGCAATGATGTGAGCTGCCACCTCCTCTCTCCTACCAAGTGCCAGTGAAGGGCTGATTAGGCTGAAGTAGAAATTCTTGAAGATCACATGGCAGGGGAGGTTAAGAAAGGCTATTGACATACTCATCTAGGGAGAGGCATAACTTTTTTAATACTCTTTTATGGGTTGATAAGATTGGACTGAAGTGTATGGGAAAGAAGAGCACTCAGGTTGGATAGTCAAGTGACTCCCTCCTTTTGCCCTTTTAGAACTTGATTCACTAGGTTAGTTCCTCAAGGAAGCAAAGATTAGCCCTGCCTCTTGAATCAGGTCTGCATTTGATCTTGTATCCTGTGCTTCTCTTGTGCACCCTGGGGAAGGTGGCTACAGGACCATTGCCAAGTAACAGTCAAGGAAAAGATTCACAGCCCTGTTTGCAAAGCCAAAGACTTGATATGGGCAGAAAACATAGTTTGTTGCTTATAATAAGAATTGTTATTTTAAGTAGTGGGATTATGGGTGAACCCCTTCAAGTTAACTTATTTAAAATAAATAGGCACCTAATTCATTAAACAAAACATTTTATTCTCTAGTGTTGGCCAGAGTGCCATTCTAGTAATGAATTGTATTATACAATTGACAAGTGTCCCCTTGTGTAGCTAATTAGTACATTTATATCATGTAGACTTAACTGTTAATAATATACTCATGAGTATATGCCTTGTCTCCCAATTTCAGCACTTTTTACATAATTTTCTAGCTTGCATATTACCTACTTACCTACTGCAAAGCTGAATACAAAATAAGAGTGGCATGAGAACTATTTCTAAATATCCAACGTATACAATATAACCAACAACTTAATTCTCATGTCAACATTTTTTTCTTCAATGTCTTTTGTTGTCATTGTATTGTGAGTTCTTATTCTCTTTTAAAATTTATCTCACATACCCTGTGTTCATGATTTCATTTTTCCTATATTTTCTCAAATTATTTTTATTTTGATCTATAAATGTAGTTCTGATTCTTTATCCTTCAATTTTTTCCCTCTCATTTTGTTGTATTGAGATCTTTTATATATTGTGAATAAGTCCATCCATGGCCTAAACTGTCAATCACAGAAATTAAGATCCTCTACCTTGTTTTTTTATTATTTTAAAAAGATTGTAAGTCCCAGGAAGATAAGAAACACTTCATTTATGTATTCTGTGCAATAATTATAAAAATATAGAAGTAGCACCTTCCTTTGAAAACCATAATTATGTTAAAAACAATGCTGTTCACAGTCATAGAAGAGGAGATAATTTTATTCTAGTCTGGTACCATAGGGTCTTCCTTCCCAATAAATAAGAGTGACACAAGTTGGGGATATAGGAAACTAGTATAGTTATATAATAGTGAGTTGAAAAACTCCTATTACCTTATTTTCTTTCCTCCATCTGCAATTTTGGCTTTTTGAAGATAACCTTCTTTTTCAACCATCTGCAAGAAGAATGCATACATTAAAACTTAGACAAACTCCTATTCATTTTTAGTTTGAATGAACTTATGCTTTCGAAGAGTCATTGCAGTGATGGAAATTTCCAGTCACAGCACTTATTAATAATGCATATATAGCTTATGGGAAGTACCTGCAAGATCACAGTCATTACAAGCTGTTAAATATCCAAAAGATAAATTATGAAGAGGGATGTGAATGATTTGTTAGATAGTGATACACCTTTACTCACTTTTCTTTCTGTGCAATGAAATCACTTGCTTTTTAAAAAAATGGGCTCCAAGTGTAAAACAAAGACAAATGTAATGTCTTTCTTAATTTTACCAACCATTCTTAGAAAAGCTCTTCGTATTCATGTTCCCCATATACCTGCTGAAGCCAGGGCAAAAGAAGAATTCAATAGAATCTAGTAACTGAATCAGCTGAATCATGAAAATCATTAAAAATAGCAACATAGCATGCATTTAGGTCCCTCAGAGACCTTGTAGTAATAGTGTCTTATTGTCTCCTTCCATGATGCATAGTTGCCTTCCTTTTCCTACCTGTGTATATGGGCTTCAACTGATAGATAATACAGCTGCAAGCTTCTGAAAAAAAAAGACCCGACTATTTATTATGCCACAGGTGAGTTTGTGAAGTTCGAGGGTGTGTTTTAATCTCTTGGCACTCTATCCTTCTCTGCCTGCCTCATGCTCCACTGAAGATCCTTAGCCTATCATACTCTCTCCTCAGGCTGTATGCAAAATGCTGTAAAAAAAATCACCTAATAGTAGAGGACCATAATCCCTCAGTGCCACCCCTGTGCATATACACCCTGTCTCTAGCTAAGGCACTCCTAAGTACACAAAATTGACTTTAACATTCAATTCATATGGCATTTATTAGTGGGTCTTTCTATGATTCATCTGTAATCTCTTTTAGGTATTCCTGTTCTGACCCTCCATTTTCACTCTGCATTTATCCCAAGGATAGCATTTGTCAGATCACACTGTAATTGTCTGCTTAATCTCTGTGCCTCTATCTTGTTTGAGTCACTGAAGGCCAAGGGCTGAACCTTTCACACCTGGATTCCCAGCTCCTATAGTACTTGCTGGCATGATAATCACAAGGATAAGTTCTACTTCAACAAAGCAACAAATTAATGAATGTACATTTAAACGTTTATTCAAATAGTTATGGGAGAATAGACAAACCAAAACAATTCATATGCAATGACAGATTAGAAGAAAATATATTTGGAGGTAAATGAGTTGTCCCAAACCACTAAAATTGCCTGTTTACAAGACTCACTCTGATATGCATGAGAACTTTCCTGACTTTTTCATCATTAGGTTCCAAATATATATATTGCACAGTACTTAGCTTTTAATATATAGCTTTAAATATATATCTGATGGATAACTTTTATTTTTTTTCTAGTTCTATTATCTTCTTGGTTTTAGTTATTTTTTTATTGGTCTGATGGTAACTTTTAGATTGACTAAATTATGATGATGATGATAATGAATTTGATGATCTTAACAAAGCATTTTTCATGCATCTACAAATTTTCTTTTACTTCAGTATCTTTTTCCACAAGTCTAAAAGAGTCTAGGGAAGCTTTCTTAGATCATTTTTAGAACTATGGTGCTCAATGGTGTCACTTTTTTAAATGTGTCTGGATATATGCACTCATTTGCTTTGCCCACCTCTTATTCTATGTATACTTTCCCTTTTTCTTGGTGCCAGGGAATTTTGCCTACCCTCTAAAGACCATATAATAAGTTCAGCACTTAACTCTGGGCAACACTGGCTTCTATAAATGTTTGGAAGAAAGATGCTTTCAGTAGCAATTAGCATCACAGAGGAGGTTCCTTTCTTTAGGAAAGTATACTGAAAAAATTTCTTGTGTAACCTTATTTATTGTTTTAGTGAAAATTTCTTCTAATGAAAATAAAATAGTTATCTAAATAGTGGATTTATGTAGATAGTTACAAAATATCAACCCATTATAAAAACTGATGCATGCATTTCCAGCTAACAATGTTGCCATTATTTTTTTCAAAAATATTCATCAGAAGACCCATAGGTAGACATTGTGACATTTGATATCCACAGAAATTTATTATTGATGACCATTCCTCTAAAACAAAAATGAAAATGTAAAAAGAAAAAGCCAATATTTTTACAGAAAGAAATCAACACAAAGAGGCTTGAGATATATTCTCTAAAACTCTCTTCCATGAATACATAAGTAATATTCCACCAGACACAGATGAAAATACCTGAGACTGAAGTGGCCAACAGATTTATTTCTTATGTTAGGACTTAATAACACTTAATAACAGTGACATTAATAGCTGATTCAGTTTGCATTGTCTTGGATTAATGTCATAAAGTTTTCATGAGTGACTACCCAGAGGTCTTGAGAAAATGATGAAGGAAGAGAGAGATGAATAGCAAGTTAGATATCATCTTACAAATTCAAACTGCCTTCCAAGTCATGAGAAGAAACTAATAAAATTATCTACTATGTACTATAATTTACTGCATTTACTATTTTGGTGTAATTTTTTACACATCTATATGCATCTGATATACATTGCTACATGCAATATATATTAATACAATTATATACATACATATATAGTTATATTAATTGTATGTATATAATTAATTAATATGTATATGTATGTATGTATATATATATATGTATATATATATATATATATATATATATGTATATATATATATATATATATATATATATATATATATTCTGCATATATTATGACTCCTGGGATCAAGTGTTCATTTCTCTCCTTCTCTCCATTTTCTCTTTCATATTGGATGTACACACATTCATTCCTTAAAAAAATTTTCAATTAATCACATTTCCTTGTCCCAAATAATAGCCACTATGTTTATAACTGGTGTGTAAACATTTATAGGACAGTCTTAGTATTATTGAGGCTTAAATCCTTGTGAACTCACATTAAGATACACCTTTTCCTCTTATTTTGGTACTGATACCATAGTCCCTCCAGCCATCTCAATGACTCATGCCATTGTTAGCATGGATTAGAAAACTCCAATTCAGTTTCCTTCACTGAAAATACTTTGTTGTTCTAGGTCCCATGCTGCCAAGCAAAGCCCCCAGGAGATACAATTAATTATTTCACTATACCTTATCATCATACTTTGAAATACCTCCCAATGTTCCAGGCACCAGGCACCAGGAAGTAGCTATTCTGAGAAGCTCATAGTGAGCTAAAAGAAATATTAGGGTAAGCAAAAGCTTGTATGTAAGTCTATATATGGAACCATATTAATTATTCTAATTATGTTCAGGCCATTCTCATGATCAGAAGGGAAAATGATCTATAAATTGCAGTTGAACATGTTGATCATCTAGAATCAAATGTCTCCTGCTTTGAGATTTACAAAATTATGGATAGCTTTAGATGTAAGTTTGGGATTCTATATACTAAGTCCTAGTAAAATTTGAAGTTTTTTAAAGCAGAAGCACTCCCTAAACTATGTACACTTAAGAAATGTCAACCTATCTTTAGATGCTAAATCTGGCTTTGGGGGTTATTTGTCCAATGTCCCTTAGAAGCCCTATTTAACATTACATGGCAGGAAAGATCAGCAATTTGTCCAGATTGGATGTGAGCCAGTCTGCCAGCATTGAGGAAGTGCTCAGCAGATACATCATGAGATATAGATGAGAAGAATGAATGGCAGTGGGATAGCTAGATAGCACCTGTTTATCAACTTACGTTGGAGGCGACAAATGAGGCAGGAGAAGAGACGACAACCTTTGATAAATGATAACAATCATGGCAGAAAGACCAGCCTGTAATCCTACATACAGACACTGCAATTTTTTATATAAAGTCTTCCTGTTGTGCTCATATACAATTGCAAACAATAGGTTTTCTTCTATACCAGTCTATCAAAAGGGTTCTGTTAGAATATATGTTTATAAATGGAAATGAACTGAACCAGAGACTTCCATCAGATTTTCTTGAGAAGAGTTTGGCTTTTAACACCAGAACCACACAATCCTTTTTTCCTCATAACATTTGTTCTAAGTTATTGTTATCATCCCCTTTGTTCTGACTTTGTGTTAATCAGCAACCATTCCAGATTCACCTTCTTAGGTCATTGGATGTACACAGTGGGTGACTTTAATAGTAAGTGTCATAATACCCCTCATATTTTGTGAAATAGTGTCAAAGGACCATCAGCTCTGCAAACCCTGATAATATTGACAAATGTAATTTTCCTGGATTCACAAAGCTGTGATGGGCCCCAGCCCTAAACTGGGATGATCACTCAGAAGGGGTATTTCATCCTGTGAAACCTGCTGTATGACTCATGTTTCACTAAGATAACTTTGCCTTATTTCTCCATGACTACAATCCTGGGCCACTGTAGTTTTCAAACAGATCTGCCACTTAATTGATTTTCTATTTAATAATGAGGTGATTGAGGATCTATTAAATTTTAATAGATCACAGTACTTTTTTGGCAATCTTGTTTGCTTTGGTGACTTTTATTAAAAATCAGAGAATGGAGATACATTTGGTTATATCATTTTGCCCCCTGTAATGGTTTGGATGTGAGGTGTTCCCAGAAGTTCATGTGTGAGACAATACGAGATGGTTTAGGAGAGAAATGATTCGGTTGTGAGAGTCTTAATGCAATCAGTGAATGAGTCCCCTGATAAGCATTAACTGAGTGGAAACTGAAGTGGTGAGGTATGGCTGGAGAAGGTGGGAATTAGGGAGTTGCTTTGGAGTCTACATTTGTATCTGGCACCTGGAGTTCTCTCTCTCTGTTTTCTGATCACCATGATGTGAGGTGCTTCCCTGTGCCACACAATCTGCCATGGTGTTCAGCCTCATTTATGAGGTTTCTATAGACTAAAACATTTGAAACCATGAGCCCTCAAATAAACTCTTCCTCCTCTATAATTGTGATAGTCAGGTCCTTTAAT